TACCAGAGTATGCTACATTTCTACTACATATTAAATTATACCTGAATTTGGTGTTTAGCTATTTCTAATTATTCACCATATTCACTTTATGTCTCATTATCAAATCTTGGTTACTTCTAAATTGGTATATTTAGAAAATTGGTCCCTTATAGCCTCTTAGTTTGGTATACCTGTTATTCAGTACTTTATTTAAACTGGTATACTTTTTTGTTAGATGGCCTTTTATATATATTCCTTAAGCCAGATGCCTACTGCTGCCACCAGTTACACATGAAAAGTATTGGTATTACATATTGAATCTTTGAACTTATCTTGTGTTTGCGCTGCCTATTATCAGCTTGTATCTCTTTATACAACTGTATCTGTACTTTATATAAATGTTACAAACCCTTCCACTTACTTCTCTAGATATACTAACCTCGTATCTTAAGTCAGATACCTGTTATCACTGCCGGTTTGCCTTCCCTAGGTCTTAACATTTCCTAAGTTATCTGGTGCAATGTATAACCTCTTAAGTACTTCTGATCAAAGCCTGAATTGATACTTTTAGATGTATAGAAGTGGGTTATATTCTCTATGCCAAGTAGCCTTCTATAGTCATTTCACTAATGCCAGAAATATTTCTAATTCTAGTTAAGGCATAATTTTTTATTACAGCTATTCATATGTTTACTGCTTCTCTCATTACTCCAGTTTTGGTAATATTGTATCACCCTCCCAAGCAAGTACTCAATGCCAATCCAAATTAGGACTAATATATACAATTTATTAATTATCCTTCCAAGTATATACTTCACAAGTTAGATGTAGAGATGTTGGTACTACCTAAAATGAAGACAAAAGGATATTGGTATTATCTCCAGATTACCCCAACCAAAGGACTTACATGTACAATCTTCTACAACCTAGACCTTCTGTGAGAAATATGCGTAATGATATCGCTTTATGATTAAGGCTCTTTCTAAGAACTCCTTATTCTGGTTTTATACTGCATTTAGACTTTTCACTAAGCTTCATGTCCGAAATAGTACTCCTGCCAATTGGCTTACAGAGGATTAAAAATCTCAGATTTTATATTTCCAAATAGAGTCGAACTGTCAACCTTGTCTATAGGGGTTTGGAAGCTTAACTACTAAGCTATAGGATCCAAACTATCACAAGCTTATAATTATAACTATTTGACATGAATAAAAAATTCTATATTTTTTTTGTCATTTATCTTTTAATTATTTTCTTGTTTATATATTTTGTTATACTTCTCTATACCTCTGTTTTTTTTATATAATTTTTTTTTTTTTTTATTTCTTTATAAAAAGATACTATTAGATTAGTAATATTCTATTGTAAAACAGTGATTAGATGAGAACTTTAGTTAAGTATTATTTTAATTAATCATATTCTACTATATAGCCAAGTTATCTGTAAACACTTGATTAATATTAATTAGATTGAAGCAACTACAAAATATTTGAATTTAAATTTTATTATTACTGGCATGATTTGCCAAAGTGAAAAAAAAAATACAAATAAAAAAAATAAACAAATTATTTATTAAACTAATTTATAATTGTGAATAACTAATTTTCACCTATAATAATATTACCCAGTATTATAAAATTGTTGTTAAAAATTAAATAAATTTAGATTTAAAGTTAGGGTTAACTTAGATTAAAAATAAAAGAATAGTTTTAATAATACAATTTCAAGTTATTAAGGTTTTTTTTTTGTTTTGGTTACATAAGATTCGACAATCTGATTGGTCTTTATACAACCGGGTAACATCACCTAGGGTGAAAATTAACAACACTCTTTATAATTTATAAATTTATTGTATTTAATAAAAAATTGAAATTATTTTAAAATTTTAAAGTTTATATATTTGCGGGCCGGGCCTAAAATTTAAAATAATTAATCCGGGCCGGAAAAAAATTTTTAATATTACAGCTATTATCGTTATTTCTGGGACACCTGAAGAATCTTCAAACGAAATATCATCTGTTTCATTCGGTAAATTACCTAACTTCTCGGAAACTATATCGCTGTCTCCGGACCTTCAGTCCGAAGACAGCGATATAATTTCCGGAGGGCTAGATAATTTACCGAATGAAACAGAGGATATTTCGGTCATCTGAAAATTCTTCAGGTGTCCCAGAAATAATGATAATAGCTGTAAATGCGGGCTAGGCCGGCCCTTAAAAATCATTAATTTGCAGGCCTCTATTTGAAAATAAATCTGTAACCAATTTCAATTAAAATTAGATTTCTGCATTTTAACTTCAGATTAAAACGAAATCTAGGGCGTCTTTTAAGACTCTAAAATCCACATATACTTTTTTTATTAATAATCCTAACTTTAAATCCTAACGCTAATTCAATCCCTAAAAACGTTTAAAAAAAATACACCCTATCGAGACGCATGGATTTCTATAGGGCAACATTTCATTTTGATCTATCACAATAAGTAGTCTATGTGCATAGGATTCCAGATTTAAGGCTTCAAATAACATAAATTACTTTACCACTATACATAACCTTATTTAAATCCTCCATCTTCTTTAATGCTGCTTTAGCTTCTTCCGTGGTGAATCGTTGATCTTCCGGCAATTCGTTATTGATATCTTGGATTAAAGTAGTAAATAATCTTTGGCCATCAAAATCTGGCGAAGATGTCACACGATCAAGATGTTGTTCGAATAATTTTAACCTATACAAACATTGCATACATAAAAAGACTTAATATAGCTGACTAATCTTTAAATTTTCGAATACAAAGAACATTATTTTGAACTCACCTCGATGGTGTTATTCCATCGTCATCGGCATCTTCGTTTAATGCGAGGGAGTCAAATCCAAGAACACTATCAGATCTTACCGGCTCATCGGTTTCCATAAGATTGTATGTAGGTGTATATGACGGCCCCGCTTCATTTGATGATAAATCTACATTATTGGACATGTCGGTCTTATCGTGATGTACGTTTTTGTGTCTGGGTAATATAAAAACGTTAGAGTATATATAATTTATGATGAAAATATTCTAATTAAAATATCTCAATACTTTTGGCTTTCATCGCCATCACCGTAACGTTCATCGTTTTCGTCATCATTTTCGTCATCATTATCGACATTGTCATCACCGTCATCCACATCATCACCGTCATCATCGTCATCATCGTCATCAGATATTGTACTATCAACCCTGCGCCTTTTATTTCTATCCTTGGGTTTGACTTCTTTGAATAGAGCAAATTTAATGATCGCTTCAGCAGCTTCAGCGTCATCTTTTCTTACCGTCTTTGCAAGACGTGCTTTAGCATGTGCGGTAGCAAGACGAAAAAGTGAATCTAAAGCACGCGGCGTCATTGGTGATGTCTTAAAATAGGCCATTGGCATAGAAATTATTAAAATGAATAAAAGTATATAAGAAGTTATAATAAATAATTTTAATTACTTTTGATTCTCCACGATTAGTTTCAGCATTACGAAGCTCAACCCATGAGTTACAAATATAATCCGCAGCCTCTCTAGTCAATCTAGGTGCTGTGCAATTTTTAGCATATTGAATATATTTCTGGAGAAATTCTGAAGAAAGAATTTCTGACTCCTCTGAATCAGATACGTCTATTTGATTACTGTCAATATTTGATTGTGGATCGTCATGCTGATAAATTGATGTCGGTGTTACTGTCCTATCAGCTTGTTCCATGGAAATGGTTTGTCCGGAACCATCCTTAATCGGTACACCTATAATATTAAAAATGTAAGTACGCGTCATGCTTTCGCGATATCAAGAAACATAATACCGTGCAAACCTTCTTCGAGATTTCGTGGGCGATATTGATGTAAGCGCAAAACATGTTGTGAAATTTTACGATCTCGAATATCATTTATTTCATCTGTAACAACAAAAACCAGATCGAAACGAGATAACAACGAATCCGGAAGAGCGATATTATGCGCAGGATCTTTATGAACATCATACTACGATTAAAAAAGATGAGTTTACGTTTAAGATTGTTGCGACAATATAGGAAATAATAAACCTAAAACAATTCAATTCATTCAAATCACCTGTCCATAAACAGGATTAGCCGCAGCTATTACACTACACCGGGCATTTAGGGATGTATGGATGCCAGCTTTGGAGATGGTTACAGTTTGTTGTTCCATTACTTCATGAATTGCAACACGATCAGTGTCAGTCATTTTGTCAAATTCATCAATGCACACGACACCGCGGTCACCAAGAACCATCGCACCGGCGTCAAGACATCTTTCACCTGCACACAAAAAGATATACAGACGCGAAATTAATGGAATGAGTACGAATTGGTAATTAATTATAAATAATTATAAATATTCATTACCGGTTTCTTTATCCCGCGAAACTGCAGCTGTCAAACCGACACCTGATGACCCACGACCTGTAGTCGCAATGGCTAGAGGTGCAATATTAAGTACACGTCGAAGAAGCTGAGATTTTGCCGTGGATGGATCTCCAACCATCAAAATGTTAATATCTCTGATTGCAATCGTTACAAAATATATTGTAAAAAATTATCGTGAATACTATTCGACATAATGCCAACGAGTTTTGTTTATCTTACCCTCGAATATGAGTTCCACTAGACAAATTTTGCTCTTTGCCGCCTAATAACATAAGTAAAATTGCTTTTTTTATAATTTCATGACCGTAAATTGATGGTGCTAAAGATCTCGCTAATAGTTCAAATACATCTTTAGTTTTCGAAACTTTTTTTATATTTTTAATATCTTCTTGTGTGACTATTTTTCTACCGATATCCCCCGACAAAATGGTGATATTTGTAGCAATAATGACGGTCCTATATAATCGTGATAAACAGTAAATAAAAACGTTTCTAAATAACTAATTATAAATAATTAACTCACTTAAAGGTTGCTGAAGTCGTGGCTTGATTTGGCTTGCCAATAGCTTTGTAGCAACCCGCTAATTGTATACGATCGCCAGGCTTCACTTTGTCGACCAAATCATCATCCAATATAATATCAACTGATCTAAGCAATTGACCAGTCTGAGCTTTTTCAGGCATTTCTTGAAGATATATAGTTTGATGATCTTTATATATTGAATAGCCAAATTCAGTCGTCAGTGGATTACCATTCTCATCTTCTGTGGGATATCCTGATGCAGTTGGTAAGTAATTTCCAATAGTTGTAGAATCTTGATATTCTTTGTAATAAAAGACTCCAGTTTTTTCACAAAAATGAACACTTTTTGATAACTTTAACCGAACGAGGGAACCTACAAATTTTGAAGAAATTGAACAATGTGAAAAAAAAAAACAGTCATGGTTTTATAATCAAGAACATTATTTGAATTTCATAATACATCGCGAAACTATCCCCTCTATACAAATCAATTTTCCTAGATGTATAGATCTTAATGTTCCCGGATTAACATGATAACGAAAATTTCCCGTAAATCCAACATATATATGTAAGTCTTCGATCTTGTTAATTATAGGATCATTTATGCTTAGAGCGACATCTTTGATAGCCTTTTCAAACGCGAGTATCCACTCGTTAGGAGAATCTATAATCCTATGAATCTATTTTATTTAATCTTATTTGCAATAACTAATATAAATCATATTCAATATATAATTTAATTTACTTTTCCGAATTTTCACTGTGATAATGACGTAAATCATTTAAACTGACGATTAGTCGTTTTTCGCCATTTCGTAATAAACGTAATAACTCGCTTTTATATTTAATTTCGTAATCTTTGTCCTAAATTATTAGTAAGTCAGAATAGATACGTAATTATAATTGCTTAATATGTACACCAAAAATACGCGTTATTTTATACGCGAAAATACGCGTGAATATAAAATAGTACGTTTGCTTCCAGGAATTCTTTAAGAAATCGAGCGCGTTCATTGAACAATTCATCTTGAAGTCGAAGTTCTTTTGCGTTCGAAGTCATGTTAAGTTTACTGAACAGTTGAATAAACTAACGTGGAAAGCGCGAAATTATATCGATATATTGTAAATTTAAAAATCATAAAAATCTGCATAATAATTGGCTAATCTAAATTCTCCGTGCCAAATTTTTTCTTTTTCGAATCGAGCCGTTATGCCGGGTTTAGAATCGGACTTCAATTTCTGTTTCTCGCCGCAACATCATCATTAAAGTTTACTGTATTGTTCCAAAATAACACACTTGGACATTATTTCTAATAGTTTTTAACTGTTTTATAAAATTTACTCGTTACCCGAAATCTCTAACTCTTCGGAAGATTGGTGATACAAAAACCGGCTTGGACTGAGCCGCGAACTATACTACCAAGCCGAGCCATTTAACGGCTCGGCTACAGTCTACTAATAAAGTCGTGGGTCATAATATTTATCAGCTAATAAAATCTCAAAAAATAATGGTCAACATTATAAATTTGAAAAAAAAATATATAAGGCCTAATTTGGCGCAGTTCCTAATTTGACGCATGACGATATCTCGAGAACTATCGATCAGAATCGCATGATTCTGGTACCATACGATTTGTCTCATCGAGACAACCAAAATAGATATAATATATCTAATTTGACGCAGTTAAATGTTTACGAACTACCCCAGGTGCGCCAATAAAAATGCCACTTTCACGTGACGATCTACATCGATTAGCCAATAATTAATCACAATTTGGTGTAACGTAATACGATCGCGAAGATCCAAAACAACGTCAATTTTGTCAAAAATCGTTTATTTTTCAGAAATTCACATAAGAAACCGCCTTTCGTGCATTAACAAAAAAAATTCCTTGAGTAATTTTACTATGCTACCCTTATTCTCTAACATAAGTTTAAACGCTAACCCTAACA